CCCCAACATGTAGCCTGGTATCAGTACCTGACATCTTGAATGCAAAAATTGTTAAAAATGAACAAACCTGGTACTGGTTTAGGGTATTTTATTGTCCAGTCCAAATGGAGAGAAAACTAATGATACCTTAAAATTATGGGGAAGAGTTAAAGTGCAGTTTCAAAAGCCTTCATGCTAATAATAACATTTTTGGTATACTAATTTCCTTGTCAGTATAATGAATAAAAGGTCTTTTCTATCCAGTGGTCTTTCCAGAAAGCCTGTTTTACTCAGCAACGTTGAAAACTTAGTCTCAGCTGTTGCAAAGGTTTCACCTCTGGTCTTCAGACCAGTCTGAAATTCTTAGTGAAGTGATGGAGTAGTGCCAGCAGTAAATGACAATATAGTGACCCATACCTGCAAGCTGTGAACAACTGAGGTACCTGAAAGCTGAGCTGTAAAGGGGAGAAACTGCAGTTTGGCTTTTCCTATTTGAAAGAAGGTAGTAGTTCTTGGATCTGCAGCTTTTCATGTGGTTTGTTTGCTAGGACCATCTTCTACAGCAGCTATTCCTATATGAAACCTGAAAAAATGCAGTGTTTTGGTGAGGTCACAGCCCTGAGAGAAGTGAAGCTCCCAGCTGGGTTAGAGGTCACAACTAGGAACACTCAAAGAGTAGTCTGTGGTAAAGAGCTATGAGGCATATCAGCAGAACAAGCTGCTAGTGTTTTGACCCTGATTTCCTCCCCTACGTGCAGGATTTACCTCTCTGCCTATTGGCTTGGTTCTTTTCTAGAGTATAGATCACAAAGTTGGTGATGATGGCAACAGCATAACTCTTGCAGAAGTTAAACAGATGAAAAAAAAATCTTGTTGTTTTCAGACAGAGAATGGGTTAAGAGATAATGATATAAAACCAAGAGTCTCTGAATGGGAAGTGATTCAGGAAGCTGGTGTGAAACTCAAGCCCATGTATGGCCCAGGATACACTGGTATGAAGAACCTGGGAAATAGCTGCTACCTCAGTGCTGTCATGCAAGCCATTTTCAGCATCCCAGAGTTCCAACGAGCGTAAGTAGCTTCAAACTAGTTCTTGTCAGTAGCTGCTGCATTCCTCAGTGTCTTTTTGTAAGAAAAATGGTATTTTAATTTTTGTCTCACCTGCAAACGGATCTCTTTCAGTCAGTTCAATGGCTGCTTAGAGGATGTAGTGATTGTATTCTCTTCTGGAAAAGGTTGGAACACAAAACCCAATCTGCCTTTGAAATCAGAACTTCCTCACTTAGCTTTAGTGGTGGGAAATAATATGCTACCTTGAAAGTTTGATTGTTCTGTCACAGAATCACAGGCTGTCCCTGTTTTTCATACGTGTATGTATAGATCTCTATCTCAATATCATCAGTAACATATTAGGGTTTTTTGTGCTGGCCCATGCCCCTAAGGGTGTGAGAATCATTCTACTGCTCCAGTGTCATTTGTGCAAAAAAAATATACTGGCACAAACATGCTAATACTGATCCAGGCTAATGTAAAGCAGTGCACCTTTTGCATGAGGTCTGGCTATAATGAGGGAAACTATCAGACATTTTAAAATTAAAATTAATAAAAAAATTAAAAATCTCATTTCATGAAAAGGGTACAGTGAGCATATTCTTCCACTGAATAAGTAAGAGAGTAAAAGGACAAAAGCACAACAGAGGAATATGAAATATTCCTGACTGTTCAGAACTGACCACATCACTTCAAGGAGAGCAGCCTTTTTATAAGGGACCTTCTATGGTTTGCAGTAAAATTCAGAATGCTCTTTCATTCCACAGCAGTAGTAGAGTGTGTGCTGGAGTAAAGCTTTTAGATTTTGGAAAGCCTCCCAGATTTTCATGTAGCAATTGCCTTCTTGAGAAGAAGAGGGAGAAAACTTGTATTTGTTTATTTTTTTTTTTAGCCATATGGAGTACAGTCTGTAGATTAACTAAGTGCCAGTTTTTCTACCTCTACTTTCAAGAAATATTAAAATGGACTTTACTAAGGGAGATTGTTTTCCCATGACGTGGTCCTCGGAGTTACCTGGAGCACTTATTATCAACCAAGTAGTAAAGATCTTTGATAAAAGAGGGACTCAGCAGAGATGAGATGTGTTCTTTCAACATGGCTGTATCTACCTACCCTGTTTTTTCTTGTACTCAAGGGAAGCAATGCTCAGATAGCATGCTACTGAATGTCTCACTGTCTAACAAACTGGCTATAATAATGTATACCTCAGCATTTATTGTCAGGAGTTAGCCTTTGTTTCTCTGAAGAAACTCCATAGAAACATTCTTTTTATGGTTTTTTTTTATTCCTGACATAAATTTGGAATTTATTTGGTGATGTTGATTAAGAGTAAAAAGTACATTGGTTCTCAACCCAGCTCTGTTTTGAGCTGCACCATCCTGAAGCTATTTCAAGGTCACGGAATAGAATTTAAATTCCAAATGACCACCACAACCATATCTTTTATAGCTAGAAGCATCTAAGCAAAACTTGAATGTCCATTTCCTAATTTCTTTATTATTATTTTTTCATAACAGAAGTGCCAGGGATAGATGAGTCACTGCTATGATGCAAAATTTGACGTGTTAGCACAGAGGAAGCCTGCTAGTGTATCATGCTGAGGATCTGTTAGGATATGCTTGAGTAAATCTAGCTGCAATATTTGCATGTTTCTGCTTTGTTCTTGCTGCCCAGGTATGTGGGAAACATTCCACGAATATTTGACTACTCCCCTCTTGATCCAACACAAGATTTCAGCACTCAGATGTAAGTGACACTTCTCAATGATTTACTTAGTCAAGTTAAAGAGAATCTAAACAATTTAATAACAGGGCAAAAAAACACCTCTGCGTGGGCTTGAAAGCGAGATATGGCACAAGGTAGAATGAGAAGATTTGCCCACTTAGTTGCAGGTGATGATGTTTCAGCTGGGGGTCAAAGGCAGTAAACTTTTTTTGCTTGGATAAGATTTCTCTTTTCTGTTTTTCTCACATGTTTGTTTCTACCCCATCACTCTTCCCTGCAGGGCTAAACTGGGACACGGCCTCCTTTCAGGCCAGTACTCTAAGCCACCCATGAAATCTGAGCTTATTGAGCAGGTGATGAAAGAACACAAGGTATTGCCTGAGTTTGTACAGCCTGGTAACTAGGTAAAAGTGATATCCTGAGAAAAGGGAACAGGTGCCGGGTATTGAAGAACATGTGTGGATCTGTCATGGGATGCTTAGCAAGGTGGAATGTGCAGGATTTCAGTCAGGAATATATTAGTCAGGGGCTATTTGTGCAAAGCATTAAAGTAACCATTGGTTCTGCTAATAAAGTATGTTGCTCCTCCAGTGATGAGTGCAAAAGTTCATAAAACTTCCAACTTACGTTCATCTTTTCTGAGGAACAAAATAAAAAAGTTATCTAGAGAGTCCTGCATATTTGGAAGCAAATTTCTAAACCCTCTTTAATTTCATAAAGAATTATAAAGAGCCAAAGAGTTGTTTCCAGGATGTGTCTGACAGAATTCCACCTGATTACAGGAGAAGCTGGCTGGGTAACGCAAGATTAAGGGGTGCTGGAGGCCTTCACGTAGATGAAAGAGGGACCATGCAGAGTCTTGTCCCCTGGGGCTTTACTCACGTTATTTCATGGTACAAAAATCACACAGAAGCATGTCTGTATCAGTGTGATCTATCCTGGCAACAGCAGCGCATGTGGATTTGGGTATAAATTGAAATCCTAATTGCCAGACAACCTGGGGAGAACAATGCATATATCCTGATTTATAATAATTCACAATAGAAAAAAATCTTGGAATCAGCTTTTCTCAGAATAGGCAATTTCCGAACAAAGGAATACTGAGGGACAAGAACATCCTAGATGCAAAAGAGAGGAACTGGAGGATGAAATAACCGTTTCCCTCATGTTTATATGAATTTTATTTCTCTGTCATTGTATTACCTGTGGGAGACTGTTCTTTTATTTTTACTGTAATTTGCAGTAATTTTTGCAGCAAAACAGATAGTTAGCTCACTGTATATACCTAGTATCTAGCTTTGAGAACTCCACTATTGTTGGTTCTGTAATCCTTGTATTGCCTTCGTGGTGTTCTATCTGCAACAAGAAAGTTGCTTGTTTCTCTTATGCTGCAAAAATCATTCAGGCATGTGTTGGCGCTGTAATATCCATGGAACCATGTCTTCATCTGTCTGTGCTTTTCTTCTCCTCCAGCAATGAATAAATTCACTCACAGTCATCAGAAAACCTCTTCATATTCTTTGTCCAACGGTCTTGGCTTTAGCAGTAAAGATGATTTTTGATGAAGGTCTGATTGATCTATTTGTATTAACAAGGTTAATGGGCACTGTCTGATTTACTGGTTTAGTTTTTCACTTGTTCTTGCTTGATGTTGTGAAGAAATCACAGTAGCTTGGTGGTGGGATGGAAAAATTCTTCTCTTTTTGTAAGTTGGTTTAAGCTTACATCACCCTTTGGAAAGTGAGATCAGTTCAGGTTTTGCTGTTCTGCTTAAACTCTACTGCTTTCGGAATTGCCTTTGTTTTCCCTGGAGTCATACAATTAACAGTTGTCTTAAGCAAAACCTTAGTTATTGGGACTATGATATCTACCCAAGCAAACATGTTGTTTTGGGTTTGTCTTATTGTTCAAACCATCTACTGTGAAACATCTTGTTTAGAGTGATACTGGGAACACTGGACCTAGAATGTTTGTATCCCTACAAGCCTCCTGTTACTGTGACCCAAGCAGCATGTGGAGTCAACCCACAGACTCTACTGATGGGGTATTTAGAAATGAAAGGTCAACTAATATCCAATATTGAAAATACTACCTGTAGAAAGAGCTGTCTTTATGGAGAAAGAATCTCTGATGCCAAGTTGTAGTTTTCCTACATGCAAAGTTCTCCAGTTTTCTGGGTCTTTGGAAATCATCCAAAGTTTTGGGGAGCTGTTGCCTGCAAAAGCATTTGTATGAGATCTGTAATGGTCCAGCACAGTCTATATTTAGCTGGTCTGTTCTGCTACTGTTGATGGGGAAAGTATGCTAGGTATTCTATAAATATTCGTGGTACTGTGGAGCTATAATTTTTAACCAAGGGAATTTAGTCTGGAGATGGCAGCAGTTTTCTTGTACCCACTTTAACATTAAAAACAGCTAGGACTTGGTTTTCTATTTATGGTATATCTTTTGTTATTTTACTTGTCCTTGAAGTGGAAAGGGTTTAGAGGGCAGGGCCCAATCCTCTTCTAAAGACTATCACGCTTGGCATGTTTCTCTTTTCCCTGCTCAAATGGCTTAGTAAAAAGTGCATAGGTGGAAACAAGCCTTGATTCCAGACTTATTCCATTATACATCTGAGCAAATGTGCCATACAGTCATATTCTTGCTTCTGACATACAAAGAAGCCTGGTATATAGTATTTTAAGCTGGGTTATACTTTCTTCTCCCTACTCCTAGCTTTGACAAAAGGCAGATGAGGACTCTGAAGTGATATATATAACCCAAGATTCAGAAATCCCTAGAATATCTCTTTGTTCAGGCAATACCGAGACACTCTCTCTACAAGAGCCTTTAAAGAGCATCTTGGCCTAATGTGATTGCTGGTATACTGCCAGAAATTGAAAAAGCATTAAAATTGAGAACCTACTTTTGATTTCAGTGGATCTAGGAATACCTTCCCTTGGTGAAACCAAGAATAAAATTTTGCTCTCTAGAGTGTGTTTTATATGCCTTCAATTTCATGCTGCTTTTTCTGTTTTGATATTGCTATGATAGCACAGCTGTAGTAAAGAATGAGGTTGGCCAAGTTTTTAACAGCCCCAAATATCTTAAAGGCTGCATTTTTGATTGGTTTGTCTTGAAAATGATTTGGTCTCATGGAGGATGAGGGCAAATTTGAATAAGAGATTCTGACCCTTTCAAATGTGTTATTTAAGAGGCTTAATAGCTAGTTACGTCTTTAGGATGCCTTTTGGGGTGGTTGGAAGGCTTTTTGAAATGGTATAGAGGGTGAGAAAGAAAAAACTAGGACTTTCTTGGGAGCTAGAGATTTTCTAGTTTAACGTAGTTTCCTACTGAATGGCTAAAGCAGTATGTTATGGTCCTTGAACATGGCCAACACTTGCAAATTCATCTCTCCTTAACAGCTCATCTGGGAAAGCATGCGGCACACATTAGTTGTTCTCTGCTTGATTCTGTAGAGATCTCTGGAAAGGTTATGTCCTGAGTAAAGCTGCTAGCTGATATACTAAAGTGCTTCATGCCTACATACATTTATGTGGAACACTGTTCCGAAAGAAAAGTAAAATGTTAGAAAACAGTGTAAGCTTTTAGCCTTCTGGAAACTACTAACCTTTAGGAAACCTTCAGGAAACCTTCAGTAATCTCTTTCAACTTGCAAATGCCATAGAAAAATCAGATAGAGTGAATGCTGTAGCAACTATGTCATAATACATACTCTAAATCCCCCAGATCATGTTTATTAAAATGGAAAACCAGATGAAACCAAAACTATCATTTCTACAGTGGCAGAAATGGGTCACAGATAGATCTAGTCAAGTAAATCTGGGATATTTGGTCTAGGAATTAATAAGAATCTTTTAAAAGGTTTCTTTTTCTTCCATTTAGGCTCAACACAATGGAATATCTCCTCAAATGTTTAAGGCTTTTATAAGTAAAGGCCACCCAGAATTTTCCTCTAACAGACAACAAGATGCACTGGAATTTTTCCTACATCTTATAAATCTAGTAGAGGTGAGAAAATCTGAATTACTTCTTTTCCCTGGTTATATTAGACAATGAGGACAGAGCTGAGTGGCTCAGGGATTTTGTTATACTTTTTTTAGCCTTGGATATGTAGAAAATGGTACTAATTAAAACATTTTGGTTTATAAACACTTGTTTCTTTAATTCTTCCTTCTCTTTACTTCAGACCCTTGTCTGTGTGACCACACACAGGACCAATACTGCTGATAACAACTGGTAGAGATATAGAAAGGTCAAGCATCACTGTACAGGCTATAAGATTTATAAATATACGTGACTGTCCTTTTAAACTGCTGTTCATTTTATGATTACATGCTATCCATTTGTTTACCATATTGAAGTCTGTCTTGGAATATTAATGAATTTGGTATTGTTATTATTCCAAATTTATATCATAGTTGGGAGTGAGCTAATTACCATGTCCAGTTCTTTTACAAATCCCAGCTGTACATTGCTGAATCATTATGGGAGGAAGGACATCTCCCATAGCAAAGTGACTATTTGTCAATTGAATATTTCTGCATAAAATGTTAGTTCCACTGAGCTCGAGCTCAGTGCTGTGTAGAAGAGTCAGTACTGTGAATGTTAATGCTGTCTTCCTGAAAAGCAAATTTACAAACACATGGTTTTGATTTAAAGCACTTCTTTCTTGTCCATCCTTCCACTCTCTTCTTCCCATTTTCCCCAAGAATTGAGGGTATTTATTCATGTGTTACAGTCCAGACGAAGTTACTCACATTTGCATGCATTATGTTCCATATCCCAAAATACATGTACTGATTATGGGATGGTTAGAAGACATTTTCTTTTTCACTTGATAAGACATTCACATGAGCAATAAAGAGGAGGTATATTATTTGTATGATGTTCCCATCCGGATAATGAACAAGTTGCTTGTTCTGTTTCAGTGCAGATTGAGAATGGTAGGAGAAATTCTATTTGCTGGAAGTTATTTACCTGAGCTTTCTATCTTTATTGTAACCTGCCACCTTCCTATCTTCTTTTGTTCACCTTGACTCAGTCAGATTCATTAGGGACACGGTCTGAAAGTTACTGTGTGTAGAGACATATTGCTGTATATTGTGGACATCAGTGGGATTCTCTGTGGGTGCAAGAGTTCTACATGCAAGATCGTTGTCTTTGTGCTTGCCATAAAACAACCAGCAGCTTTTGGCTTCTTTTGTCATTTTAATGATTGTCACTTGAATGATCTGATCTGCTATTCCTTTCAGAGGAACCCTGTAGGTTCAGAAAACCCTAGTGATGTTTTCCGGTTCTTGGTGGAAGAACGCACACAATGCTGCCAGTCCAGAAAGGTCCGCTACACAGAGAGGGTGGACTATATCATGCAGTTACCTGTTGCCATGGAGGCAGCAACAAACAAAGGTAAGGAAAGAAACTAGTTTATTGACTGACCTTCTGGTGACTCTCAGTCATGAGGGAATGAAGTTCTTACCCCTATATGATCTCTTTACATGGATAGAATGGTTCAAGGCCATGTGGCAAATCACACCAATGAAGTGACTGGGAAAGTTACTTGGTTTGGTTTTCTTTAAAGGAGATTCTAACCACACATCAGTTTGTGGCTATACCGTTCCTGCTTATATTTTTAGGGAAGAAGGATTCTACCTGGATACTCTTCACAGGTTTTCAGACAGGTTTCTCCTCAAAATGTGGGAACACCATTAGGTGTCACCACTCAGCAGTATATCTCAGAGAAAGGTAGCAGTTTGTTCGATAAAGGTGTCAGTGATTTATGATTTAAAACCTTAACCTGGATTTGACTCAAGGATGTGCCACACCACTTGTAGTACAGTGTATTTACCCTTGTGTTTTGTGCATGTGTGTGCCCAAAGATTCTCATTAGGATTGGATTTCTTTTGTTCTGGACAGTGAACCAGTATATAAAAACTTCTTAATTCTAAAAAAGGAAGTGAACATAGTAGCTAACGAATATGTTGTAAAAGCAAACACACACTCACAGAAACCAACCAACCAACAATAAAAAAAAACCCACACCAAAAACCAGCCAACCAACCCCCCCTCCCCAAAAAAGAACAACACAAACCCCCAACACTTTGGATTTGTGTTCATTAGCAGCAGATGATAAAGCCTAAGGTAGTTTGTTGTCTTTTACAGCAAAATACACAATTTGGATATCCCGAGCTTTAGGAGAGGTGGGAAGGAGGATGAAGTGGTGGACATTAATACAGGAGTGTTTTTTTCATGCCTGTGAGCTGCCTGAAAATGCATACTTGTTTTTAAAGGAGAAAATGGCTGAGGAGGCTATAAGACTTGGAAGCAGGAGAGAGGTATTGACAAATCTTGGTTGTCCTGCAATCACTGATGAAGAGTGTTGCATGCTAACATAATAAACGTATGTCTGAGGTTGAAGTGAAGGGGACATCACAGGTACATGAGAAGGGGGATGTTCCTCTGGTTTCCTGCATAATCTCAAAATTAAAAAATATTTTAAAGCCAGAAGGAGCTATCCTGATTATTTGATCTGATCCTTTGAAATAGCACACAACACAGGTTCTTGAACTGGACAATATGTCTAGTTATGTAATTTTAAAATGACCATTTTGACTTGAAAATCTAAGGTTTGTAGAATTTCACATTCTTTGTTCGTCAGTTTCAGTGATGTTTCTATGCTTATAAAGCAGCATGTTATTTTCAGGTAATGGCTCAGGAGGTATATTAGGTTTTGAATTTATCATACAGTGCTGCTCAGCTTGCCAGTGTCAGGATTCTTTCTATATTATACATAATCCTCTCCTGTCTAGAAAGTCAGATGACACAGATAAACAGCAATAATTTTCCAAGTCAGATTGAGTTGCTAAAGCAGTTAGTTGATGTTCCTATTAACACAGGATTCTGGCTATCGTGGCAAGATTTTAATTGCCCATTGCCCAGTGTTACCAGTTCTGTGTTTTAACTGTAGAATCATAGATAATCATAGAATGGTTTGGGTTGGAAAG